GCAATGGGGGAGTAGACAACAAATTATCTTACACCTGGAAAACTGAAAACCATTCTCTTTGCACGAAACTAAACTGAGATGGTAAATAATTTTAATGTCCGTGTAATGGGGGGCCATCACTTTGGTTTCATCATAAATATTGGGAATCCTCTTTTACCCATGCATGTCAGAGAATTTATAAGAACAGTGTAGTAAAAGAAAAACGAATGCCAGACTGAAGTTCCTGTTAGACAATCAAGTGTCTACCTATGAGGCTGCAGGACCCTGCTACCTTATACATGGTCATATGGATTACGCTTGCTCTTCATGGTACCCCTGCCCTTTACAAAAAAACTGAAAGATGATTGCAAATCACCCAGAACAAATTGTAAGATTTATCCTGGGCCTGGGTCCAGAGAGCATGTAGCCGATGAATTACAGCGTTGGAATGCTGAATTTGAAAACAAGTAAAAACTGAAGCTAAATCTTTTATAAATTGTCACAAACAGTGTTCCAATTTTCTTTTTCTGCATTTTGCAAGGTTGGGAACCAAGCAATCTTAGTTCTAGGGGGAGAGCCCCAACTTGTAGTACCCCAGTCAGTGGCCCAGGCCTTTCAACACCTTTTTTTTATGTACACATAAAGGAATGGCACAGACTGCCTGCCATGTCAAAGCCAGTCATGGCATGAAAACCCGTTCAAGAAGGTGCTAAAAGGTGTCTGATGATTGTTAGCTACAGAAGGGAGGGAATATTTTTTTTTATCTAACACAATGTAAATTTTACCTTATTCCTAGTAATGACCCTCGTATGTAGATATCTTAATGACCCTGTGTAGTAGATAGTCTTTTTAAATATTAAAAAGATGTTATCTTCATTATAAATTAAGAAATATTATAATATTAAAATTATAATAAGGTAAAAGGCCCCAATGAAATAAGTTCAGCCCTTTACTTTTTTGACTATCTAGTTCTCTACACATATGCTGCTATGTATGATAATCTATGTACTGCATTTGGTATACTTGAATAAATTACTTGGGGCCCGAAACTGTTCCCCTACTTCTAGCCCTTTCCCGTGGCGTCTTGTGAAGTTTCCTTATACACAGTTCCTTGCATGAATTTAGTCCTGGTTTTTCTTTATGGCTTCTTGTCTCATTACATTGTGAAATGCTCCAAAATTAGAGCACTCGTGCTTGACCTGATCCTTTTTCTCCTTTCAATATTTTTTCCCCTTTTCCTTTCTTTGTTTTCCTCTCTTTTCCTAAGTTTTGTCTTTCCTCTTCCCCACCCCTTTGTTTTGGTCCTACCCCTTGTGGGCCCCTTTCTCTCCTGCGGGGTACTTTTCTTGTCAAGATGATCCCACTCTGCTATTTCTACTACACCTACACTCCATTCCTCATATATTGCCTCCCTTCACTCCCCTTCTCTATGGCCACTAAAATATATCCCTACTTTTACTACCCCTATTTTTCTACACTGCTTCACTACCAGCCTTACCACTCCACTGCTACTTTTTGCACTCCCTTGGTCTCCTCAATCCCCGTAGATTTTTAATTTTGAAAAGGGGTGGATGGGAACAGCAGAAGGGCCCCAGTCAGCTGACCAAAAAGCCCGTGAACATTATCATATGACTAAACCTGTGTCAGGAAACACTTGTCCTATTTCCGACGAACCTACTTGGCTCTCTTTCGTTGGTGTTACTTGTAAATGTCCAAATAGAACCGAAACTCATCTAGCTTCTCTTTTCCTATGTGTGGGTTGTGTATGAGGGAAGGTTTGGTGTGAGAAGAGACAAGAACCCCTTCTTACAGAAAAGGGACCTCCATGAGTGGAGGGTTCAGGTAAAAATGTGCAGAAAAACATGTGAGCAAACACTGACAATTTATTAGAAAACTCGGTCCAGGTACCTGATCAACGTTCCCGGACCAAAAAAGTTTCTTAATAAATATGTCTAGTGTTTGCCAACATGTCCCTTCTAAACCAAGGTTTATACCAAAAATGTGTTTCCCTGTGGTAATGAAAATTTATTCAGGGTTATTAACCAGAACAATGGTAATCCAGGAATGGCAACACTCAAGTACCTCTAATTTTAAGTGAATAAAAATTATACCATGACTGAACAATGCACAATATAACCCCCACATAGAAAAAAGAAAAATTTTGACGAAAAGGGTTTGGGCCAATTGGACCTTTAACTTCCGCAGAGAAGCACGAAGGGAAGGGTAAGCCCGTATATATATGAGAGGTGAAGGGCTGGGGGAGTATAGAGATGAAGGTGGTATTAGTAGATGGTGGCAGTGGTATGGTGGGCGGTTGTAGTAAATTGCAAACCCGAAATCGCAATAAGAGGAAGTAATGGTAGTGACGCAAAATTTTAAATGGGGGTGTTAGATTAATAGTAGTTAGAGTGGAGGTAGCCCAAGAATAAGAGAGAAAAAAAAAAAGGTGCACTGCAGGAGAGCTAATGGCCCCAAGGAAGAAAAGAACCACAATACCCTGGGCTGAAACATACAAAATAACAAAATATGAAAGAGGTTTATGACTGGGGTTCAGCCTGACTGGAAACCCCTGACTAGCATAATGAAAGTGGGGACTTTGTCCCGTGGTCAAGTCAGACCATTGAATCACACTAGTATGGCAGGTTATTTGTTAAATGACCCACAAGGGTAGGTAAAATCCCAGGAAGGAAAATCATTGGACACACCACTAAGCAGAAATTATTTTTTATCAAAAGAAGCGCTAAGCCCCAAGGCTATACAGCACCTAAGCAAAAGGTCAAAGAAAATACGTATGGGAGAATGAGAAAGAAAGCATCTACAACCCGGACTAAGATTATATTAAGAAAATTGTGTATGAGGATGCTTCAACTTAGTGGCATCTACGGGGTGGGTAGGAACGGTTAAGACAGTTCTGGTAGAGGACCATTTTTAGATGACTGTGATCCTAACATTTCTTTTGGAATTAATTTGTCAGAAAGATAGTGGGCGCTTCTCCAAGTAATGGAGAAAGGGAAAAGGAGTTTGGGTCTTGGAGACAAAAACTTTATCCATGAAAAAAAGAGGGGAATGTATGAGAGATAGTTATACCAATCTCTTGTAATGGGTGTGAGGATGGTAGTGAATGTGGCAACAAGGGGAAGGCCTGGAGGAGTGGAGATGTCATGTCTGAGGCAATGTGTGGTGTGAATATAATGAGAGAATTTGTAGTTTGGAGTTTTGGGAGGTGCGGTTACCAAAACTATCATCCAAGGGCTGAAGAGAGGTTATTGAGATGGTTTGGACATTAGAGGTTGGATATAAATGACTTCAAGTGTTAAACTGTAAATGGGGGAAGGTGAGTTGGGGTCAGCTAGGAAAGTTGGAGGGGGGTTTTGGTGTGCAAGGGGCTTGGACTTCCAGAAAACTGCATGAGATGTTAGATAGGACAAATTACAGACAAATGGTTTTTAGGACTTGAAGTTGTTGGAGTGTAAGCAAGGTAAATTATAAGTGTTCACAGAAACCAGCAGGGCCGACTTGATTTCCCGAGAGGGGAAGTCAGTGTCGGCACTTTGAAGGAGAAGTGTTAATGTTGCAGATTTATAATGTAGTGTAAGTGCGCCTCTCGCAAGACAGTGATGGAGTGAATGATGATGGAATTTTATTTTTAAACAAAGGGAAGCCTAAAACCGGGGATTATACAGCGCCTGGGGGGGATGTGGAAGGCATTCAGGTTAATTCGGGAACTGGAGACAGATCCAATTCCTTAAACAGCCCTCACCAACATCAAGGAACCTTCTTGAGGGGAATGATGATGGAAGTTTTTCTTTTTTGGGCCACTCTGCTTTGGTGGGAAACGGCCAGTGTTAATAAAAAAAATATAAAAAAAAGAGTTGAGTGGGAATCTTAATTTTTTGCTTACTTTCTTTTATGTGTAAATCCATCGTTTGGCTACAGGCTTTGTTGAGAGTGATGTAAGCCCTTGCTGCATGAGATGATACTTCACTGCCTTGAGACCCCAAGCCCAGTTGGTTTAGCTGAAGCAAGCTGGCAGCTTCTGCGTGAATGTTTCTCACCGCCGCTTTGGCAACGAGACGGCGAAGAGTGTTACCAACAGCAATGGGTTTGATTCCCCCATCCTTTTTCAAAGCTCATAATTAGGCTGCAAAAAAGGTTTAATTTCTTCAGGAATTTGCCTCCCGACAGTTTCGATAAGGTGTTAACTCTGGGAAAAAACTGTTTCAACTGTGCAATACTGTATTTACCATCCCCTTTTGATTTGTGGTTGTATTACAGTGAAACCCCTGCCGATCCCGCTGGAAATCATCCAGTAAGATTATTTTGGTGAATGGTTCCTGGCTGGGTGCTGTCTTCAGTGCTTGAACTGTGGGTTTTTTTCTGGAAGCAATTGCATGTCAATTAGATTTTTTTTGATTGCTCCACTGTAATTTCTTCCTCCTATTTGTTTTCTAACCCGTGCAAAAATTTTCTTGCTTCAGTGGTTTTTCTGGGTCTCCTCAGTGATTCGTGCAATGGAGGGGCAGACAGCTTTACTTATCTTTTTCTTGTGTTTGTGAAAACCCGCTCTGATGTAATTAGTGATTTGCGCCTCTTTCATGCACTGCTAGGACAGAGGTTACACCATGCCTTAATGGGCCTCAAGTTTAATTGGTAGAAACCTTAATTTACCTGCTTTAGAATTCTGAGATTCCCTTTTAGGCTATGAATGAACAGCTTTAGAGAATGAGAGATCCCGCTAGCAGTAGTTTGAATGCCCTCAGATCATTCAACAAGGGAAACGCCTGTGGAGCTGTGGGCTGCCTCTCATGCATGACATTTACTTACCAATAGGTTTCAACTTCTACCCGGGTTGATGAAAAAAATTAAACAAATTCACATTTTTTTTTTTTTGCTTCAGCTGATTTTCTGAAATTATTGAAAAACATTTGTTTAAAATCAATATCCCTTTAATGCTTAAGGAATTGGCATTAAAAATTATACTGTATAAACTTTGTGTTACGTTGTTCTGTTTAAATTTTCAGCCTGACACCTCAGTTCCCTGGTGCAGAGAATGGTATGCATGATGCTGCCAATTTTTTAATGAAATTCTCAAAATGGTAGTCATGAACATCGATTAAAAAAGTAAAATCCATCTTCTTTTACGATATGCCATTGCTGAAATTTTGCCACTGATAAAAAGAGGTATTCTAAATTTATCACAGAAACTAATATCACATACTATTCAAAGTTGAAGCCAGTTGAAGCTAACAAATTAGTGCCCTCACATTTTTAGTAACAATCCAAACTTTCTTCTAAGATATGAAGGCAATGATGGTTTGCAACTAACCATAAGAGGCCAACACCTTAGTTTGATCGATAAAATTGGCAGATTACAGCTACATAGCCCAAATCCAACACAAATCTTCCTCTGTTTGATAAAGCAGTTTAAAATTTTAAGGCAATCAGAAAGGGTCTTCTCATATTGCCTGGAGCACTATCACAACTTATTTAATATAACTGTCACTTATACAGCCTGTAACAATCCAAATCTTCCTGTAAGAAAGAGATACAGCATTGCAATTCAGTGCTGGTCAGCACCATGCCAAACATTGTTTACAATTAGATACACCAGTATTTTTAACTTTAAAGCTGATCAGATGAGATGCTTTAAAGTTATTGCACAGAAACTACGAGGGCAAAAAATACCTGATACAGGAGTCCCTTTTGAGGGATACCAGTAATAGTAATGTGTAATATGGAATTTTGAAAAAAAAGTTATACTTGTGTATGATTTTGTTCATATTAAAAAACTTTTGAATTTATTTTATTTTATTCATATATGCATACTGAATATGGAAATAAGCAAGTGAAAAATGGGTATGATGAAAAGCAATGCTGTCATTTTAGAAAATAACATTTATTTCATCAAAATAATCTACACAATGATATTCACCCAACTAGCCATGGTATTGAGTGGCTGAGGCTGCACATGCGGGAACCTGAATCAATGATCTCAGCGAGGCTAACATTATATACATCATTCACAAACAAATCTGCCCAAGAAATCACTCGAGGAAATACTCATAAAAATAAATTATTAAACATATGACTGATTTACAGCACAAGACAAATTCACAGTGCCACAAGGACACAAATTATTATTATAGTATTATACAATGCAAAGGTGATTTAAGTTGTAAGAATTAGCGAAGGTGTAAAATTGCCATCATAGTTGATGCAACAGATCTGCTTTTGTTAAAATTCATAGAGGCAGTCTGCACTGAAGGTAGGACTTTCATTAACATCAGTCAGAGTGTGTCAAGATGGAAATAAATGGTATAAAATACCGACACAATGGAAATATAAACACACATGCAGTATAATGTGTTCCTTTATTGACAACGTTTTGCCCACACAGTGGGCTTTTTCAAGCCACAAACAGATCTGTTTGTGACTTGAAAAAGCCCACTGTGTGGGCGAAACGTTGTCAATAAAGGATCACATTATACTGCATATGTGTTTATATTTCCAAGTGTGTCAAGGCAATGATGTGTCAAATGTGAGTTCTGCATTTTTGCTCTGATATATCAAGACAGTCTATTTATATATGGTAAATTATTAGTTACATGACAGTCCTTGCAGAGTCATTGAGCATCTTTCCATATTCTGCGAGTGTGAATCACGTGTAGCTGATTCGTAAATGTGTGAATGCAGTTTTCCACATCCATCACCCCAATGCTGTTGTTAAAAGTTTTGGAATCTCTGGGAAATACTGCATGTACTGGAAATTTATACAAAAAAGGGATTTTCCTGTGTGAGAGTAGCAGAAAACGAATAGCAAACTGAGTGGTTTGGTGTGCATGTTCATTGCTATGAACATCAATGTGTCCAGGGACCCAGCAATAAAAAGATTATTTTTGCCTGCAAGAAATTTAACATAACCATTATTGTGTACTAAGTATGATGGGGTGTGGGGAGTCACATCTCTGGATAGCTTATAATGTACTTTTGGAGTCTGAAACAACAATGAATGAGGAAACATATATGACTGCATAGGAGTTTCCTGTGAAAATACTGGCTAACTCAAGTAAATCTCCATACCCAATTCCATTTGAAGATTTGGAACAATCTGTGTACACTACCATAACATGAGAACAAGACCGAAAGTGTTTAAGAAAGAGCACAGATTTGTAGCAGGTATGTTGGTCATCAAGCACTGAAGGGGTTGTAAAGATAAATCACTGGAAGTTTCCAAGTAGGAATGGAAGAGTATGATATGGGGTAAACATAAAGGAGAAAAAAATTGAGAGCTATTACTGGAGTTTGAATGCAGATATTAAAGGACCATAATAAATAGAGCTTATGATTAAATAAGTTAATCTTACTAACACTTGTAATTATTTTGCATGTACGAGGATCATGAATGTTATGGAAGTAAAAAAAAAAATAACAAATGTAATGGGTATTCCTGTGATCCTACAGAGAAAAGATGGTTTACATTTGTATACAAACTCTTGAGTAGAGATCAGAAGGCTGCTTGACAAATTTTATCCTTGATGAGGAACCTTGCCAAGTTTAAGAATTCCAAGAGAGCCCGAGGAATGCATTTTATCCCTGTAATTTAGCTCAGACAGTATTAGAACTGCAAGAATTCTGAGAAAGTTTGCTAATCAACTCTCCAATAAAAATTAGCTAAAGTTTTCAGTAGGTTCTGCTGAGTAAGACAGTTGGTTTTTAACAAGATGCAGATACACTACTATAACATTCAACAAACAAAGAGGTCTAGAAATTTAACCATAACACATACTGGGAAAAGGGAGCCATGCAGATACATAACATAGGCTGTGGATAAGGTGTCTGGTGAAGGTTATCAAATCTGTTTTGGCAACAGAAAACAAACCACATAATCTATATTAAGCTGGAGAGTGGTTTGTACAGGTCAACACTCTAGGCCTGTATATGCAATAGCAAAATTATCTACACATAAGAATGACCAGATACCTACGGAACTGAGGTAAGCCCATTAATAGCTCTCATTTATAAGGTACATGTACCAAGGATGCAGTTTTGAGGTAACCTCCACCTTCGAGTGAAAAACAGGGGTGCCATGGGCATAATAAGAGAATATTGTCAACATCTGTAGTTCAAGACTTTTAAACCTGCTAACTGCAGATATCAGAAATATTATTAGAATGAGTATAGAAGTTTTCAAGAGAAAACTGAATCATTATTTCTGCCAAGTGCCAGATCAATCAGGCTACAATAAATAGGGAGCCAATTAACTGGCCACCAACAATAAAAGCCTGGTTACTAGGCAATAACAGAAAAGCCTGTCCCCAGGCTGGAATGCAGGGACAAAAATACTCAAAACTGGCCACAGGAGTTGCATAAAATCGGGGCAAAAGCTATTATTCACTCAAACCCTGAAGTGTATCTCTGATATAAAATCTTTAAGTAGTAGTACTCCACTTTGAGGCCTAGGGAATGTCTAAAGTCAAAATGATGAAACACCAGGTGGTGTCACAGGCCTTTTCTTAATTGAGAAAAGAAGACAGCAATAATTGAATATTTGTCCATAAAGGCATTTCAAATGTGTGTATCAAGTCAAAACAAGGGAAGGGGAGTTTGTGGTGGAATAACTACTTCTAAAACCAAACTGATGAGTGGAGAGATTCGTGTTCTAAGTACCATGGAAAGTGTTCATTGACTAAACTTTCAAACAATTCACTAATAGCACTTGGTCCTGAGGTAACTGGGTTATGGAATGGGAGTGCTACTGCAGTTTTGCACCATAGACACAATAATGTCTTTGGACCACACCTGATTGAAAAAGTGGAAGAGGAAAATTAGTGCTGTTGGATGTAAGTTTTACAGCATGTGAACCTATATATCATTAGGCCTGGCTGCCATTTGGTCAGAATACAGATACTGATGATGCAAGTTCCAGAAAGGTAAAGTTCAGTGAAGTAGTCTCACACTTGGATTTAAATTGGAGAAAGGGGGGAGGAAAGCTAAATATGGAACGTAAGAAATATGAATAGTGATGTCCAGTTGCTTTTGGAAGCAGGATTAGGTGTACTTGCTTGCTAACCAAAATACTTTTTTTTTCTAGACCAGGCATACAAGAGACAGTGGCATTCACAGTGGACAGTGTAAGTATGCCAACAAGTTTGTTAAGTTGTTCATATAATGTGACTCGCATGCTCTCCCACTTGTTGATAAGTTGAAAATGGTCTATGGTGTGTCTGTAATGGTAGCAGCCCCATGCAGCTTGCTTCAAATAAATTGCACAAGCACAGTCAGGAGACCCCCAGGGAATACATTTCTGAAAATGTTTACCAGAGGTCCAGGGGATGGAAAAAGTATTTGCGGAGAATACTGAGGTGACTAACAGATGTAATAACTCATTTGTAGTTGAAATGCAAGTAGTATCAGGAAAATAAGCATGGGGTGTGTAGAGTGCCCAATTTACACTTTTGATTTGTCACTAAGCTCAGTAAAGAGGGCAGGTATAAAAACAAGAAGTGAAAAGAATAGGGAAACAATCACTATTATGTAGATCATTACAATCCATTCAAACTCAAGCACTATAGAGGAAAAGCAGGTAGAGATATTTATCCATGAGAAGGTGCACATTTGTAGATCTTTATCTAGAAAGACAGGTGTTTAAGATATGGAGAGGTACAGGGTTCAAAAATTAACTGATTTCAGACCTCCTCAGTGCAAATGATGAGTTAAAATCATCTAATAAAAGGAGTGGCATAAAGAAAAGTAAAATAAAAGAGTGTACATTAGTTAAGATGAGAGCACGAAGGAAAGGGATTCAAAGAGATAACATACAAAGCACTGTATTATGTAGATTATGTTTTTGAAGACAAATGTATACTTGGAAAAACTGGGAAAGTAACATTTGGAACTCTCCAAGATTCCCCCTGTATCCTGTGATATTCTATTGTAAAACTGACATTATTACTTACCAGTAATAAAGCAGTAAAGGTAAGCAAGGGTTGGTTAAGGACTAGTCAGTAAAGTTGACATGAGATGGTAGAGGCAAAGTGATGAGAGATTTTTATGTAGTGCAGTTTTGTTTGTAGAGAAGCAGTATGCATGCAAGTTGCAAAAGTAGATGATGGCAAAACATTAGCAGTATAGTGGCAGGCATCATAAGACTGGGATATTAATTGCAGTCAGTTATGCATCATATTTGGGTGTTTAAGTTTAGATGAGGGTATTGTTGTTTCTTCATTTAAAGAACGGTTTATTGAGGTCCCTTTCTAGCTCTCTTTTTGAGATACACCATTAAGGTCTCAAGTCTCTCTAGAGGCAAGGAGGTTTAAGGGAGTGTAATGTGTGGAACGGGGGTGTTAAGCGGGGTAGAGACACTGGTAGCCATCAGAGGTCAGGTGGCTAAAGTAATGAATAAGCTTGTAAAGGTAGGACTGACCCATTGTGTCTGTGAAGGATACAAGAAGAGTGTGAATCCATAAGTGTGTGTGCATGCATGTGCATTTGTGTGGGCATGTGGGTATGTGTGCATGTGCTATATCAACATTGTTACTTGTCTGTCACAGTCACTTAGAATATGGCTTTGAGCCACTCTGCTCTTTGGTGGAATGATCAGTGAATCATCATTGTGTTGTGGGTGAAGTAGATTCCATGATCAAGGTAATATGGGGGTTCAGAGGTACTAGAGAGGGCAAGTTGAATACCAGTTTGGGTTCAGGCAATAAGTGATAGCCCGAAGGCAATTCAGAATTTTGAGGGTCCATATTATTATTATTATAAAAAAAAAGAGGCGTTAAACTCACTAGAGTCATACAGCGCTGCAGGGAACGGGGTGTTGCTGGATCATAGAATAGCAAGGGTGGAAAGGGCTGTGAGGAGTGCTAAAGGAAGTATTATCAAAGTTTGTGTAATCAATTGGTTGCAGTCAAAAAGTCAGAGGGAGTGTGTGTCAAAGGTGAGGCCGTCAGCAAGGAGGGATAATAAAGTAAGGGTGTTAGAGAGGTGATGACGTGCTCGGTGATAGACAGGATGGTCCAATAGAATATGGCAAACTGAGATTGGAACCTGACAGTTCTCACAGAGAGAAACAGGGCACCTCTCCATGAGACATCCATGAGTAAGACAGGTGTGCCCGTTGAATAGACAGGAGAGTACTGTCTCCCACCCTTGGCATCGATGACATGAAGGCCAGAAACCTAAACTTGGTTTGATAGAATGTAATTTGTTATGAGTCATACTGGACCAATGTCATTGGGTCCATAGCTGTGCAGGGGTCAGCAAAGACGGTCATAGTCATTTGGGGTCCAGGAGAATAAACCAATGTCTCATTTATCATAATATAAAAAAATGGGAGACAGCTCTGAGACTAAGAGAAAAGAAACCACAGGTCCACCCCAAACCATAGTTACCTCTGCTGCAACAGAAATCACCTCTTACCCAACCCTGGTACACAACACTAGGATGGCTCCTCCAGAACTAACTACACAAGGTTCAGCAACACTGCATTTTTAGACAAGAGTGCTAACTGTGCGATCATGTTTAAGCTAGTAAAGGTGGTGAGCAAACCAACAAGAATGGCAAGGCATATTCCTTCAGGTTCTGAAGCCAAGGCATTAGACCTGACTTTCCCTTTCTTGGCTGAAACCTGATTGCCTCCTATTTTCCTAGGTGTTATGTGACCCCTGCAGGTTCAGCATTACCCCCTCCCACTCCAAATTTGATAATAATACCAACACCCTCAGGTGACACTTCTGAATCTGATGGAAACCTCCAGTAGTACTTCTGTACTTCCATCATCATAGGGCCTTCCAGATGGCCACCCAATCTCACAGGAGGGTCACCTGACATGACCTATAGTGATCCACTTTTGATCAAGTGGAGTGACCAACCACCAATGGAACTTATGTTAGAACATGGCTCAGTGATTCCTTTTCCTTCTGTCTAGGAGCTAGGTTTAAAAAAAAAGATTAATATACTCAATGATTATACCAAAAGGAGAGGGAGGGAGAGCAGTATACAGAATCAGTCTGAGAAAGAAGAGAAAAAAGTCCATTTCCTCTAAGATCCCCCTTGTCCATGGCAAGGGAGCTCCCTCATGAAAAGACAAGAACACAAAAAATGCTTGATTTACAAATACATGTAATGTACAAATAGACTATGATCTGCATTACATCTTATGATGACAACACCTTTAAATCATGTATGAAATTAATATTTGATAATTAAATCACTGGGATTTTTTAATCAGATATAAGTACTGCATGCCCCATATGGGTTTATTAGTTTTGTGAATACACTGATGGTGATCTTCATTAGATGCAGTCAAAATATATTTGCTGTCTAGTTTAATTAAAGCAAATAAATTTTTATAATGTATAAAAGTTAATAAAGGATTTTTCTACATGTAAATACTTTTCCCTTGGGTAACAAAGCTTAGCTCCAGTGTTAGCTTAGTCCCAAAGTAAAATACGTAAAAGAATGTACTGTAGTTTGATATCTTAGGCAGAGATTTTTGTGAGTGTTTCTCTTAAGTATCCAATGAGCATTTCCAATTTATTAATGTCAAGACAAAATTTACATAGAGGCCTTTACTTAGCTTGTAATTAATTGTACGTGACATGTAAGAACAATAACAATCCTAATTTCAATATACAAATTTTCTTGTATTAAAAGTTTTGCCTGCAAACATAACACAAATTTAATCCCTTTTTATATTGTTTCATAACAGGAAAAAAGTTCTTGTACTGCAGAACCACACCATCATTATTATTCCCATTAATAACAATAAAAATGTGTGTGTTATGGTTTAGTACTGTTTTACTTACACGTTTACACTCTGCAGATGCACACATTTGAAGCACATTTATGTACTTCCACAATCCAGACTTGGAGGGTTTTCACAGCAAGTCACTGGCCTTTTAGGAAGTACTGTATTACACAAGCCTATTTAGTACAACTCAGAGATATCAACCATCTCTTATGTGGGTTCCTTTCCTGTGGTCAACAATAAGTGGAGTAAGTACCATTCTTGACATGTAAATGTTTTAACAAGTACACTCCTGTAACCTTCTGTGAAAACCCCAATTTTTCCACCAAGTGTTATGATTGTGTACTCTATTGCTTGTTAGCATGGAAACATGATTGACTTGCACAATACTTTTACACAAGTATGAGACAGGTGTGGAAGGCAGCCTCATACTTCAGGTACATTACTATGAGCAAGATTCATGCTACAACATATGTATAAATATATTTGAAATTTCTTGCATATCTAGTATCTACACAATGATTTCAGATTAATGGAATAATTTTCCTATACTGATGCCTTCCACACATTTCCCA